AAGGGGAGGAGAGGGTGGAAGAGGATGGTGCACGGACCAGCGGAGCATACGTCGAAACCATTGTGTAAGGCGAGTTACATGTATTGGATGTCGACGCTGGCGAGCTCGAATGTAACAAGTCCATCCACGGGCCAGTGTTGACGGAGCATGACCACGCGAGAGCAAACGGCCGACAAGCATGGTTGCTGCCGTTTTGAAATCACGCCAATTGTCACAGATCTGCTCAAACCATATATTGTCACAGAAGTATCAGAGCGCAAAAAGAGGAAGGGAACAGCCAAATAATACAGAACAGGGGGCAACAAAACAAATCCCACATGACACGTCCCACATGCAGACACCGCCCCAACTCACAGGCCGAACGACGCCGCCCCAACTCACAGGCCAAACGACGCCGCCCCAACTCATAGGCCAAACGACGGGACGAGACCAACCAGGATATCAATATATAATATATATTGTCACTGTAAATCGGAGCGCAAAGGCGGAAAAAAGCAAAACAAAGGGGAAAGACAAAAGTCAGGAAGGAAATCCCCACCTGATACATATATATATTGTCACAAAAGTATCAGATATATATCTTCTTCCTTATAACTCCCCCTGTTCAGAACCTCTTGCGTACAAGGCCGCCCACGTGGATATGTAGGTTGAGCGGCGGCTGCCCCCACCCCCGTGTGTCATATCAACCCACTTGCACACAGCCAAAAGGCAAAGAGGCAAAGAAGAGAGGAAGGGAACAGCCAAATAAAACAGAACAGGGGACAACAAAACAGATCCCAGATGACGAGTCCCCCATGCAAGCACCGCCCCAGCACACACAGGCCAAACGACGGGACAAGACCAACCAGGATAAAAACATCCTTGTCTTCAAAACATAAAAGAAAGATACACATCTATACACAGCAGATGGCCTTGTTCGACATCAAGAAGTTGGCATTCCTATTCGGCGTCATCGTAAGCAACTCGTAGCGGGACATCATAAAAAACAATCCCAGATGATGATGATTCCCACATAAAAGCACCGCCCGCATTGATACGCCGAACAACGGGAAGCAACCAACTAGGATACCAAAAAGAACCCGGCGGACCGGTATAAAAGGTAATCCCGGATGACTATTCCCACGTAAAAGCACCGCCCCCCCACACAGGCCAAACAACGGCAAGCAACCAACCAGGATGCCAAGACAATAACAACACCCCGGATGACTAGTCCCACATGAAGCACCGCTACGCTCGTGAAATACACCGAACAACAACGGGATATAACCAACCGGGATGCAGCAGACAAGACTACCACACCACGACAAATCTACCATATCCATACTCAAAAGAAGAAGTTGGCCCGCAAAACGAAACACCCCATCAACGGGGAAGAATGAACAACACAAGAAAATGTGGGATGATAGAACGATGATTGAGGCTATTTTCGACATCAATGAATTCTTGCGTGCATGGACAAGAAAATCGAGAACTACTTTCTATCATAATCAAAGAAGAGCCTGCTAGTACACGCCCGACGCTCGCCGCATCATCTACAAAAGCAGAGAGCTAGCAACGTCGGAGTATATATTGTCACTAGAGTATCAGAGAGCAAATGCAACACATTCAAAACAAAACTGACCTCGTTTTAAAGACTCGCACTAGACAACGACTTTAAATTCGACAAATTCGACAAAAAACTGAAAAATCGACGAATTCGACAACGACTCCAAATTCACTGACGAGTTCCGACTCAGTTTAGCTGACTGTGCATTTAAAATTCAAAACACTTTCCACCATTCGACGAATTCGACAACGACTCCAAATTCACTGACGAGTTCCGACTCAGTTCAACTGACTGTGCATTTAAAATTCAAAACACTTTCCACCATTCACGTCAACATCAACATCAACAACACTTCCCACCATTCACATCAACATCAACATCAACATCAACAACACTTTCCGCCATTCACATCAGCATCCGCCATTCACATCAACATCAACATCAACAACACTTTCGACCATTCACATCAACATGAACATGAACATGACCGCTGTCCAAGTTCAATTTCGTTACTTCAAACAGCGGCGACGATGGGCAGATTTGCCAGCAGGACTTAACTAGTGTGTTCTTCACCGCTTTCCAACTTCAATAGAGTAACTTAATCACAGCGGCGACGATGGGCAGATTTACCAGCAGGACTTAACTGGTGTGGTGTGTTCTAACAGCAAGTCCCCACCAAGATATGACATCCTCCGCCTAATACAATTACTCCCCCACCGGAGATCATGAATCTGGCCCTAAACCAGATTCATGATACGGTGCCGAGCTTGAAGATTACCCGTGGGCCTGTTGGTACCCCACATAGAAAACCTTGGGCATGTACTACCGAACAGATACAAGGATTCACTCGACGTAACTGTATCTGTGTCTAATATACAAAAGGCCAAAGGGCTTCTTCGTTCCACCACTCAAAAACATCTGCGACACAATCTACCTCGAGGACGCCCTCGACAAGCGTTATCCCCCCCCCTATATACCACCACTTTTTTTTTTGTTTTTTTTTTCGTAATAAGAGGGTGGAAACCTCTTTTCTCTCCTTTGTTTTTTGTTTTTCATCCTCTGTTTTCTTTCACTTCGCCAATCTCTAGAAGTCTATCACACACACGCCGGTTGACGTCAACTGACCGCTTTCTTACTACACGGGATTTCTAACAACACACACGCCGGTTGACGTCAGACCGCTTTCTTACTACCTTCTTCCCCCGAATACAACGTACGCACGGTCATTATAGCTGTATTTAGACTGAAAGATGCCCCAAATTCAGCTATGATGACCGTACGTTGTACTCGGGGAAATACTAACGATTGTAAGACGTTTACCGTCAACGAGTAAGGTAACGACAAATGACAGAGATTCACTTGGAAGTATCTAAAAGGCTAATATACAGGGCCTCGCTCCACCACTCACCGTCCGCAAAATGAGAATGAATCTTCCGCTAAAGAAGGACAGATACAACGCCCAAATTCCCGTCCTGTGAACGTGACGAGCAGGGGAGCCAGAGTAAATCACGGACATAATATCTGTATAGCGTCCACGTTCCAGGCCGGATTCAGACGCGATGACTTAAACCTCTACCCCATGCTTATCTGCAACTGACCTCCAGTACCAAGCTCATTAACGCAGAAGACTCGTTGCGCGCGACGCAGACCGGACCGGCACGCTTCAATAGATCACAGATATGATATCTGTATAACGACACCATTCCAGGCCGGATTCAGACACGATGACTTTCCCCCCCTACCCCATGCTTATCTGCATCTGACCTCCGGTCCTCCAATACGACCAAGTACCATAACATGGAAGACTCGTTGCACGCAACGAAAATGAACAGGCTCCACTAGATCACGGATATAATCTCTGTATAGCGTCAGTTTCCAGGTCAGATTCAGCCCCGTTGACTCTGCACTCTAGCCCACGCTGATCTGCATGTGACCTCCATAACGGCCCAAGTTCATTAAACGTCGAATAGTAGCGGCGAATACTGGATGCAAGCCACGACAACGTCGTTCACCCATCTCGTTGACCCGTGGCTCGCAGAAGTCAACGCTTCCACTTCCTTACTCACTGCCCCCCTGCCCCTCCGCCTCCCATCCCGACCTTCTCCTTCAGACCCTCCATAGCTGCGCCTGCCTTCTCCTTCAGGCTTTGCATGGCGCCCGCAGCTTTCTCCTGCTGCTCCTGCATCGATTCTGCCGCTCGCTGCTTCTGTTCCTCCATTGCCTGTTTAGCTTCCTCCGTCTTGGCGCCGACAGTCCCCTTCGCGTGCTCGTACTTCTCCTGCGCAGACCCCTTCCCTTCCTCGTATCCTTCCCGCCCGGCCTCCTTCATCTGCTCTGCTCCGGCACGTGCCTTGTCTGACGCCATCTCTCTCTCTTTCTGTGTGTGTGTGTGTGTGTGTGTGTGTGTGTGTGTGTGTGTGCGTCTGAAACTGACAGTCACTTGGCTCCCCCTTCCGCCACTTCCCCTCAGCCCCGATCAACGCTGGCACTGCGCCGTAAGATCCGATCGAACCCCGACGAGCCCCTTTGAATGAATGATTCGCCGAAGTTCTCGTTACCTCTTGAGTCTAGGCTTCTTCCAAATCCGGAGAAGAGCGAAAGTTATCTTCAACGCGGCGCAAGGCGAGGGACTGTCCGCGATGTACAGCAATCTACGTCCACTGCGAGGAATATATATCAAACCCCTTCGTCGCAGAAACAGACCTCCTAAGAGAGAGAGAAATGGTACCTCCTCCGCCCTTCCCTTGCAGCAATCACGCTCATGCCACAGAGAGACGAACTCGATCCGACAAGCCTTCTAGTCAAATATATGATGCGCTCGCAGGCGGACAAGCGCGAGGCGCAGCAATGAGTAGAACTGGAAGGAAGGAAGATAGACTACAGCAACGGCTGAACACCTCCACCGCTGTGAAAACGATACCCACTCTACTCCCAACCGCTCCCGCACATTCGCCACATCGAAATGACACTCGACGAACTATATAGCAATGGCTGAACGCCTCGGCCACTAGTAGAATCAACTCTCTCTCCCACTCTACTCCAACCACTCACGGGCATGCAACGCGCCGTCCCAGAAGCCTTCACGCTACCGTCTTCCCCCGAACGCAACGCACCCTGAAAGTGAACGTATACAAGGGATGTTTCCCGCCCGATACAGGTAAAATGGGGGTGCTTTGTATTCGGAGGCATACGGTAGGCAGGTCTCGTTCGCATATACGTGCAACTTCGCCGCGGCTTCCGTCTTCCCCCGAACACAACGCACCCTCATTTTGTCTGTATCTGGCCCGAAATATAGCTTGTATACATTCATTTTTAGGGTGCGTTATGTTCGGGGGAAGACGGTAGTGTTTATTTTGGCAAGGCTCCAAGTGACTTACAGATCTGTGCTGAGTGAGTTGAATTTATTAGCGTTCTGAACGCTGTGCGAAGAGGATTCGATTGAGCGCCCGAATGTGGACGTGCTTTATGTGAAGGTGCAGAAAAGCGGAGCAATTGCGATTTCTTGCACCTCACGAACACGTCCCGATGCAGGCTCTCGTGGGACGTCAAACCCCCGAATTCCATTCCAAGCCTGCTGCTAGGGGGACATCGGCCATGCTACCGTCACTGCTCACCCGGTGCTTTGTTTTCTCACTGCTTGCCAGTGGTTGGCACTCAGTCCGCGGCAGGCTGTTATGGGCCTGCAACCCACAACCTCCTGCATGGTACCAAGGGTGTCTATGGGGAATAAGGGGGGTTCGAAAGGGCTCGCCTAATCTTGGGCGACGAGAGTTGCTACTCCTAGTGAACTGTGGAAGGAAGGGGACAGATGTGGGGTTGGTCAATGGGCAGGATCTGCGCATCCCTGTGTAACCGGCTGAGCGCGAGCTTCGCGAGCTCAAACCCCCCCACCGCGTGCTCAATCGTGTTCCAGGCGCGCGCACGTGCCAAAAGATGAGCGCGCTCATCTGGGGGGGGGCACACGTGGAGGCTACATGGCACCCTCGGCCGCGGCCGCAGGATCCTAGTCCGCGGCCGACCTCCGAGGCCACGCGGCCGAGTCTGCGTGCGGCCGCACCACGCACAGGCGGGGGCGTGCGCTCAAAATCAGCACGCGCGCTCGGCCTGCGCACGTCGGCCACTGTCGGCCTGCATTAAAAATAAAAAATAAAAAAAAATTGGGGGGGTTGTTTTTGATAGGTAGCAAAAAAATATTAAAAAATAGGAAAAAAATAAATATTCATTTATTGATTGTTTTTTTTAATGATTGATT